GTACTGTTTAAAACCAATTAAAAATATAAGGATCCTTTACTAACTTTAGTAATCGTTTTTCTCTTTAATTTGTATATAATACATCTCTGCTATCGCCATACACAACTTATAGTCTGCTGACTAATTTTTTTCCCTCCCTGCTAGGGTTCTTCATCCCGGGATTTCCCAAGCTGCACCGTTTCCAGGCTCATCATGAGCTAATCCTGTCTAAAATGCTGCCTAAGCTCAAGAAACACCTGGTGAGTAGCAGACTGATGACTGATGCCTTCCATGCATCCTTCCATCCACAAGAGTAATTGAGCTCTTTGAAACCTTAGACGTTCAGACTCATTTCAAACAATCAGGTCATTTCTCATTTTTTTTGATGAATTCATGTTGCAAAGGACCGCACGTTGCAGATCTTAGATCCCAGAGTATTTGGAAAGCGAGATTTATAACTGAAAACAAATTCTAAGGCAGAGTTTCGCATTCATTCCTGCTCCACAGGACAAGGAGCAGATGACGACAGGGATTTACACCACAAAATGGTTTCTGCAGTGCTTCATTGAAAGAGTGAGTATTTGGATTTCCTCCAGATCTTCACTGTTTTTTCGGGGGGGTTATATCTAGTCCCGTTAATGAGTGCCTCACAATGCTTTCTTTTACTTTCCTTTTTAAATTAGAACTACACCTATGGCAGTTTTATTATGTTTTGATGAGACTGACTCTTAAATTAACAGACACCTTTCACCCTCACCCTGCGTTTATGGGACATCTACATATTGGAAGGGGAGAAGATGCTATCTGCTATGGCTTACACTATCCTCAAGTTACACAAAAGTGAGTATGAGGCTGTGCCATGCCGCGCTTTATCCCTCGATACGGCCGCGGCTGCTGTTGCTACACGAGTGAGTGTTACTGTGTGGATTACATCGCACGCTTCCTCTCGGTTGGCTGCTTCCTAACTGGATGGCTTACATAACAGAAGTGGTCGGTTGCTGTGGAGAAGAATCAAAAGCTGATTTTTCATTGGGTGGCATACTCTAGCACTGGCTCGGCACATTGGTTGATTTCTTGCAAAACAACTCCTTTAACAGGCCAATTCTTTACTTGGTATCTTTAAACATGACATCTGAGCTTAACTACTCTTTTTAACAGTAACATTTCTATTCCTCACCTCGTGGAGATTATCCTCATAGATTACTTTGCTCCTCCTTTGTC